AGACCTGTGCCTGCCCTTCCGACCTGGGAAACCCCTGTCACCTACCCCTCCGAGTGGATCACCCACCTCTCCATGTGGTCCGTGGCACTCCTGCAGATGGTGGGAAGGCCTCTGAGTGACATCATTTGAGAGAGATTTCCTTGTGGGGTGTTGGAAAGAGGGTAAACCACATCCCTGTTCCAGAAGGAGACTGAGGGACTTTGTAAGAGCTAATGGTGTTCTCCAAGATCCTTTCTCAGTCTGAGATTAGAGAGGACCTTCAGGGACTCCTGAGAAGTCTTTCACTCAGAGAAGAAATTGAGGTCAAGTGCATGTGTGTTTGGAGTGGGATGGGGAAGAGCGAGGAGAGTGAGTGGTACACTTCCCACGTTCCACGTGATTGTCTTTAGTCCAGGGCCTCTTTTCACCATATACTTGGCTATTATTAAAAAGTCATAATATAGACCATTCTAATATTTGCCTTTTTATGGGACAGTATTTTGAGGACTACAGCAACCAAAACAAATTTTTCTAGTTGTATTAATAATTGCTAATACTTAAATTACATGTAAATTGAATACATATCGTATACTAGATAACACTTTGCATATATTGACTCATTTCCCACATCGTAGATCCCACGATGTGCATTCTATTATTGACCTTATTTTGCAGATGAGGAATCTGAAGCACAAGGTGATTAAATAACTTACCCAATGTCCCTTGAGTTAATAAGTGGCCAAGCTAGGACTTGAACTTAGAGAGTTTGGTTTTAAAGCTGCGATCTCCTAACTAGTATAAATTAGGCTGTACTTCAGCATAGGCAGGACTAGAAGATGTGACTTAGTACAAGGGTAGGTGAGCTAATTCTTGCCTGGGGAGGAGTATGAAGGTTCAAGAGCCATCTCTTCTGGCCAGCTGTGCATTCTGTGGGAAAACAGTAGCTTTAGAGGGTAACATAGTATTTGTTTTAAACAAATATAATGAGATTTCTTTCCTGAAATGCTTCTTGGATACCTTCATATGATAAGATATGAGGGGTATATTATTAAAGGGATTTCTAAACTTCCCTAAGAAATCCTCTAGACGAGAGGTTGGAAAACTGGGAGGGACTGTGACAGGCCACTTGTTTTTTTAATACTCTTTTTATTTTTTTAAGAGATGGGGGTCTTGCTATGTTGCCCAGGCTGGACTAGAGCTCCAGGGATCAAGCGATCCTCTTGCATCAGCTTCTTGAGTATGTGGGACTACAGCCATGCACCCTGAGGCCTGGCTCACTTGTTTTGTAAATAAAGGTTCATTGGAACACAGCCATACCCATTAGTTTATGTATTGTCTGTGGCTGCCTCTGTGCTTCAGTGGCTGAGTTGACTGAATGTGATAGATACAGCATGGCCCACCATCCTAAAATATTTACAGTCTAGTTCTTTACGAGAACATTTGCCAATCCCTGAAACTAGTCTACAGAATCATAAAAGTCCACTTTGCTGAAGCACATACTTTGTACAACACTAGAGAAGACCTGCTCGATCGCCTGGGCCAGAGGGAATAAACCAATCACCTGCAGCTAGTTTAGCCCTTAGACATGTGTACTAGTGGTAGCATTTATTTGTTCTTGCTCATTTAGATTTGTTCCACACAATGCTTTTAAACAATGAATTATATCCAACATTAAAAAATTAGATTCCACATAAAAATGAATTTTTGGATTCTTCTGGAGACAAAATACTATCACAGGCTGGTATTTCTTCATGGC